CCCCCCCCTTCCAAACACCTATCATCCATCATCGATATAATGCCAAAAGGCCTACATCCACTCCTTTGACACTCATCACTGGCCAATTAACTGATCTGATTCCCCGATACGACTGTGTGTGTGTGTGTGTGTGTGTGTGTGTGTGTGTGTGTGTGTGTGTGTGTGTGTGTGTGTGTGTGTGTGTGTGTGTGTGTGTGGAGTGATATGTAGGTACAAGTATCATTGTTTTCTGATAACAGCCACAAACTAGGAAAGAGTTCAGGAACAGTGTCATTATAGCAATGTACAGGTCAAGACATCCCAGAAAGTTATTTTTTAAAAGGTATTTTTAATATATTAGTTGACGCACACTTTGTGTGCTTAGATCTTAATAAGTTAATAAAAACAATGTGCCACGGTGTGGTGGAATCAGGCGCTCGTCAAGTTTTGGGCATGTGCAGGCATTGGTATCATCTTAAAGCTTGCTCGTTTGACTTGATTTCGATTTTTTAAAATACACGTCTATCTTGAATAAAAATTGAAGTACTTGCTATTGAATAAGGTGGTGACCGCCTGATGTCAGAGGTAAAATTACCGAGAAAGCGGCTGCCATAGTTCAGTGACTTCCAACTTCCAAAGCTTGGGCGTCCTCGGAAACTGCAAGTTTATTTTTCCTTTATGCCTTTAAGCAACATTTTTCAGCTGAAATCCACACGGAAATGTGTTTCTACATGGACATAAAGAGTGTTGAGCCAAAACAGAAAATTAAATGGAAAAAAGATTTACCTTAAAATTTGCCAAGCGGACGGGAAAAGCCTGTTCCTTCGATTTCAATACTTTCTCGAGCGCCTGATTTCACCACGATGCCACACATAACGTAACCAGCTCTTGTGTACTGGTGCAGCTGCTGATGGGGATCACATTTCTTGTTTTTACCTTAAACCGTGTTTTCTTCTTGTACAGTACCTGCTTCGGCTGTGGGGGACCACAGAAGTGGAAATATAGACAGAGGAAACGTTAGTGCCAACTGTAACTTAAATATTAATAGCATATGAACCTTTCAGCAATCATGTTTTTTAGGGTTGGTTTTAAAAAAAAATATGATCAAGATGCAATGTGCCTGCATGCTATACAATTATTCTTTTTAAAATGCAATACAATGTTTTGTAGTGTAAAGAAATGATAATGTCCACAGCCCCTTTCTGTTGATAAATTCTTCATGTGTGCAACTTCCACCCCATCCCCACCCCAACCTCTCACACCTGCCTCTATCTATGTACAAGAATAGTATATTAATATTCTATAAATCGTTTTGGGGGTGGACTGCTTCGCCATTGTTTGGGAGAGCCAGCCTTACTTGACTCGAGTACAGGTTCGTAGCATACAGGCGGAGATATCAGAAAAACTAGACTTCAAACCTCCTGGCATGAGCAACCCGGGGTCAGAGAGAGACCAAGTCGCTGCAGGCAGACGAAGATAATCGAATGACGTCTTTTGCAGGCGACGGCGAAGTTCTAAAAACTAAAAACACCGCTACCCCGCGGGGCGATGCTACTGACTGAAACGTCTTTAGGCCATTCCCAAAGGGGAGGGGGGGGGGCATTTGTTCTTATGCTCAGTAGAATTGTAAGTGGGCTGATTCATCAATGTCATGCTCATAACTGTGCCCGAATTGTGCCCGAATTGCAATGGGGAACTGATGCTTCTGCTTTCCTAGTCTTTGTTAATGCCATTTTGCCGCTGCTTCTTCTGTATGTTTGTCACACTCTTGTGACCCGCTATTTCCAGGGTGCCTTGATAGTCGAAGCAGACTTTGTGCTGTTGAAGCGAGAGAGGTGAGCAGAGTAAGCAAGATTCCCTGCATGGACTTCTCTGTTGACATCCACTCTTGGTGTTCATATGACCTTAAGCCATTGTGAGCGCCTTAAAAACTTAACTAAAACTAAACACTGCACCTCAGACGCTGATACTTAAAGAAGTACGACACCAGTACTACCCCAACGTTTCCGAAGTCTACGCCACCAGTCTTGTCCTTACTCTGTGGAATCGTTGATATCATGACGTGACTTTGAGCCCGACACAACGTGTCCATGTTGGTTGTTTACCCAGAGAGCGTGACGTCAGAGATCTCCAGCGTCTCCCACGACTATATTAACACAGAGGACACCCTTCTCAAAACACCGGCACTCCTGTACCCTTCAGAAACAATGGTGAGTAGCTCAGTGCTTACATTGTTGTTGTTGCAATAGTTGTTGTTCTTCTTGCTGTTATTGTTATTATTGTTATTGTGGTAGTTTTTGTTGTTGTTATTGTTATTATTATTATTGTGGTAGTTTTTGTTGTTGTTATTGTTATTATTGTTATTGTGATAGTTTTTGTTGTTGTTGCAATCGTTGCTGTTTTTTTAAATGCGACCGCTTTTACACCATCATCGACACAGTTTAGATAATCTAGGAAGATATCTTCGACTTTGCCTACAAGGGCCAACCCGGGCTGAGGGGGATACAACGTCCCAGCAGAAAGAAAAAGATACTGATGAAAATTCTTCCTACACGGGAATCGAACTCAAGTTTTAATTGTGCGACAGCGAAAAACTTAAGCTCTACGCCATAGAAGAAACTGTCATCTAACTCGCCAGCTTTGTTAAAAAAAAAGTTGAGTTTTGTTTTAATAATATATAGAATACATTTAAAGCAGAAATTCCAAACTGTTGATCAGATTACAAAACACTTATGACAAATTAATACTGCAGGCAAGACTTTTTCATACTGTTCCGAAAGCTCAATAGCACAGCTAGATCTAGATAAATAGTGAATATACTGTGTCTTAAATAACATTTGCAGTATTGGTAGAGGCATTAAAAACTTAGTGCATCAATTATTCCTCTTGGTCCCAGAAACTTTCCACTATTGATATAAACGTTAAACACTTACTTTATTAAAGTGTTCCATCAGGTTCTAGGAACTGTCTAGGAACGTTCTGCTTAACTTTTAACTGATCAAACTTTTCTTCCTAATTCTAGAAACCTTCCAGAAATAATAGGGCTACTAAACACTAACTTTATTAACGTGTTCTGCATCATTACAGTTACCTTGCAGCATTCATGTTAACCCTTACTTTATCAACATTTTCTCTTTGGTTCCAGAATTCCGTGATTTTCCTCTCCGCACTTTGCGTGGCTGTGGCCACATCTGCTTTGGTCAAACGCCAGGCGCCTCAGAACACACCCCCTCAAGGCCCATTCGGTCAAGGTCAACAAGGCCCATTCGGTCAAGGACAACGAGGCCCATTCGGTCAAGGTCAACAAGGCCCATTCGGTCAAGGACAACAAGGCTCATTCGGTCAAGGTCAACAAGGCCCATTCGGTCAAGGACAACGAGGCCCATTCGGTCAGGGACAACAAGGCCCATTCGGTCAAGGACAACAAGGCTCATTCGGTCAAGGTCAACCAGGCCCATTCGGTCAAGGTCAACCAGGCCCATTCGGTCAAGGACAACAAAGTCAGTTCCGCCAACCCCCCTTCGGCCAATTCGGCTCCCAACAGCAGCCAGGCTCCAACTTCCCACAACCCCCTCAGGGATTCCAACAAAATGGTAAGATTTTTTCCCTTTGTTAGTATTTACTCACTGTCAAATATGTGCCTAAAGCCCCGGTTACACGCAACGATAAATTGTGCCAAAAAATTGAACGATCTATCGATCATGAGACAAATCGTCTGGTGTAACCACAAAATTGTACAACGTTTGGACGATTGGACGGTGGCTCAGAGAATCGGTCGAGAAATCAAGCGCTGCTTGATATTTTCTGTGCGATCACGGTCAGATTTGGGGGAGACGCGCTGTGACGTAGGCTGCAATCGCTCTAAAATTTTCCGTAGCGCAGGATCAACTTAGGGCTCAAAATTTAAAAAATAATTATCACAGGTAAAATCTGATTTTATATTCGGAATTAGCGTCTCAAAATAAGCAAAGTATCTGGTAGAGAACCTGATTTGATGCATTATTACGTCAGCTTGAGCTATTTTATTGTTTAGTTGATTGTCAATAGTGAAGTTGCGTATCAAGTTCACCAGGTCCATTGCACATCTGCAGTCAAGTCAATGACTTATAGGAATCTCCCTTATCGAAAGAAAACAGGACAATAGATTGGAACGTCTAAACAGACTACACAGCTCGATAAAACAGACAATTCTCGCATACGAAGCATCTGACACAATTCACCGTTACATGTAACATGGACATTAGAGATTTTCCATTGACAAATAGAGAACAATTCTTCCCTTGAAAATAGAGAACAATTAATTTTTTCCTGTAGAAACAGAGAACAATTCTTCCCTTGAAAATAGAAAACAAATTTCCCTTGAGGAATAGAGAACAAATATTCCCTTCGGGAGTGGGAAACAATTCTTCCCTTGAGAAATAGAGAACAATTTTTCCCTTCTGGTGTGGAGACCAATAATTCTTCCCTTGAGAAAGAGATTTCTTTCCTTCTGGTGTGGAGAACTACAATTCTCTCCTTGAGAAAGAGAGAACAATTCTTCCCTTCAGAAGTAAAGAACAAGCAGCAAACACATGCACGTTATGACACAGTGGCATCAACTGTTCGACATAGTTTTAAGAATGTGGAGTTATTTGTGGCTTCTCAAAGCTTGTTCATTTGTCTTGCCTTTGATAAATAAAAACACCAATCCGTATTTTAAAAAGTCGAGATATTTATTGTGATTGAAGGATATGAGTGTGGCCTGGTGACAGAGGAAAAGCTAGCAAGCAAACGGACGCCTAAATTCGGTGACTTCTTGAGTTTGAGAGTCGATGGAAGTTGCAAATTTACATTTTTGTGCGCCTTTGACTAACGTTTTTCAGTAAAAATCTTCTTCTTCTTCTTCTTCTTCTTCTTCTTCTTCTTCTTCTTCTTCTTCTTCTTTATATCTAACTTTCACCGTTACTTCATCCACAGGGTTCCCCCAACAAGGATAATCACCACGACCTCGGTAAGTGGCCTCCCCTTTGTTCCTCTCACAAGGACAGTCGATTCTGCTCTAACAGCCACCCGTATAAGACAACTATCTCTGTGTCGATGGCCGCTTCACATTTCCCGCCTAGCGTATTTTTATGTTATAACAATACTGTGTGCAAAACGACAACTTAATTTTTCTCCTCGACGATGGATGGCCGTCTTAGACAATTTCGAGTGCAATTTTGTGAGACACGATAAATCCAGGCGCTTCTCGATATTGAGTGATTGCTTATTTCGCTACTGTAGAATTACAATGCTCTATCTGATATCTTTGGCCGTTACGAGTTACTAAGACCTTAAGGTCAAAAACTAAAATATGTTCTATATGCACTATCAAAATTGAAAGAATTCTAGAGTAGTGAATTGTCTTGGTTTTGCTGAAACAAGTATCCATATAGATACAAATCGAGATTTTTGCAATTGAAGGAAGTTGAGGTACCAAGTATCGGAGGTAAAGTTAGCAGGAAAATGGCCACCAATGTTGGATGGTTTTCAAAGTTTTGAGTGTACTTTGACAGTGCAACACTGCAAATATACATGTTTGTGCCTGAACCAATGTTTTGTTTCAAAAGATCTCACAAAAATGATAAGTTTTTAAATGGACATAAAACATCATAAGCTGAAAAAAGTTTTAATAATTTCCCAACGGATACAAAAATGTAAGTGTCTTTGATTTCATTATTTTTAAGAGTGCCTGATTTCACCAAGACGTAACACAAATTGACAGGATAAATGACATTTTTTAAAGAAAAGTTGCTATTCAGAAAGAGCCCGGCAATTTGTATGTATTTCTCGCAAGGGTCGACCTCATTGGCCACAGCTGAAGCCCCAAGTCATCTCACCATTGAATTATTTTGATTCTTCTATTTTGCTGGAGAAATACTATCTTTAGCAGATGTATTTTAAATAACGGAGTGGCTACTCGCCCGATGTCGGGTGGTTAGCGTCATTTTGCAACACTATTATATACTATGTATTAATGGAATATTCTCAGACTTTTTTTCATTAGAACAATTATGAAAGTTTCTCTGTCTTATTTCCCCAGGTATAAGATTACATTCCTAGGAATTCAGTCAAGGCTGCCACTACGAACACGTCATTTGTCGTGGTGATCTCAGCCTTTTCTTTGTACCTTGGACACGACAGAAGCTTAAAAAAACCATTACCAAACATGTAATAAATGTGTGTCAAGTCAAAGGTGTCCAACTTTTATTCTGACGTTTTCTTTTTCTGCAAAGCTGTATACATGTAACACCCCTTTCGTCACTATTATGGTATATCTGAGGCGGGACATCCGAATTCAACGTCAATCTACGATGGGACTGAGCAAAATGAGCCCCAACACAACCAAGCTCAAAACGCCAAACTAGGAATTCGAACCAGGGCTGAGCTACCGGATTCCACAAAACCTATTGTTGCTATTGAATGGCCCATTTTGTTTCCATCGAGTCAATGTTATAGAAGTCACGATCCTGTACGCCATCTTTCCTAATTAAAATGGTAAAAATAGGGTTTAGCTCAGGCGCGGTTCTCCCATAGAGTAGAGCATGGTCTATGACGCCCAGGATGTTTACTGTTCTATTGTGTAAAACACCCCACATAACAGAAAATAAAAGAATCCAGAAACAAACACTAACTAAATATTTCATCAATACAGAGTCCTCGCTGGTGCCTTAACGGCTATTATTTTGTTTGTAGCGCCGTGAAATATCTACCAGGCCATACCAAAGTCCTCGTGCTTAATCAAAGCTTAAGAAGATGTTCAGCGGTGAAAATCTGATCTAAAAAACGTTCTTTGGACTAACTCAAGCGATGACGACACTTGCACTGAGTTTTGTGCTACACTATTATTAATAAGACGCCAAACCTCATAATATTTTATGTGTGCCAGCAGCAGAAAAAGTGTCTACAGTTGGAGGGTCTGAATACTGAATATAAAAGCGATCTCAGACTGTCCAGGATGGGCTACACAAAACCATGCCCACATAACAACGTGTGCTCCTGAGCAATCCTGTATAGTGAACTGCAGTTTGTTCCTTGTCTTACCATTATTTTAGGTTTTGCCAAGCCTCTGAGACCCTTGTTTTGATCCTGGTCAACGCGTCATAATTAGATCACCGTTAATAGTGCCTTATGATGGTTTGTAGTGGTGAAAGTGTTATTGCTTGAGTGTTCACTTCCAATGCAGGATGAATGAAGTTTGTTTTTTTTAAAAGAGAAAACAATAAACATTTAGTTTTCGAAATCAAAGTGAGCAAGAGGATATACATGGAAATATGAAAGAGAACGAATTAGGTCCTAATCAAATCAACGTATTTCAAATCATAAATAACATACAAGTTAGAGTGGCTGAAAGAAAAATAATTTTAAAAATGAGAGTGTAAAGGAGAGGGCAGTGTTTTGTTAACGTACACAAAAGTCTCCTTGAGATCAGCTCAATGTCGCTTAGATTGTGGGGTCGATAGTGTTGACGGTTCAGACTGGTCGATGACGTGACCAAACTTTATACTTCAAACAAAATAGAGCCATCAATGAATTTTTATCTTTAATAAACTGAGCTTTTTGAAACGCTGGAATGCGCTTTTACTCTACTCTAAACACTGGTGTGCTCCAAACTCAAATCTCGATCCTGGCAGTGCAAGGGTTAAAGGGCAATAACTTAGTCGTCTCTGTATATTCCAACAAAACCTCGACCACATAAAAGTCAACAAGGGGAACGACAAGTTTGTGAAAATGGAGAAAATCAATTAACGTAATCAATTAATCAATTGATAAATATCAAGTTACAAAAATTTACAATCAACATTGGATACAATGCAAAGCATTAATCTTTAAAGGCGTTTAGCAACAGAGGCTTAAATGGTCCGTTTTGTTATAAGGACAATGACGCAAAAAAACAACAACCCCACGACAATCATGTCAGATGTATATCTCACTGTCCTCAGAAAGCTTTGGAAAAGCTTGGGGTGAAGCTGTTATGCTGTAGAGGTCTGGTTCCAGTGGGATGTGACTGCACTCCACACATCAAGAGTGCCCCTTGCATGGTTGCAAGAAATGCGTGGGGAACTCGTTCACAGCCGAAAGTTTACAAATGGATGATCATCACATTCCCACCGCAACCCCCACCCCGAACTTGAGAACCTTCAGTTGTTACGTTTGGGTTTGAGTGACTTTTTGTTGCTGTTTTTTTTTTTCTCTGTGATTGATAGAGTCTACAAAAGCAACACACGAACAATCAAACAGTTGAAACTCAGTGTTAAGCTGGACGTCCAACAGAAACACGTTGTTAATGAGTTTAAATGAGTTATTCAAAGTTTTCATTGATGTATTGGAGCGTGTATCGAGAGAAATGGCCAACACCTGGAGATCTAAATAGCCATCACTTCTCTGGGTTTATTGGGTAATTTTAATTTTGTATAAATTTTCTCTTCAATGCACACTTAGTAACTATTTGAAATAGGTCAATGGGATTATCTCCAATCATTTTTTTCTCTATGCTATAGACCAGTCAGATATAGTTCGATAAGTCCACCACCCCCATAAGAAAATAAAATGAATAGAAAATACATTATGAATACAATATGGTCAAATCTAGAAATACATATATTCTGTGTATATGATATCTATCAGTAGGCTAGTTGTCAGTGAGGTGCTTAATGATGCAAAGTGCCTTTAATCATTGTTGTAGCTGTTGCTTGGGGGATAATTAAGTGCTTCGAAAAAATGTTTTTAGAAAATAGCATGACGTTCTATGGTAAAGGGATGTTAGACCTTTTTACATTGCCAATATTCACTGTGTTTAATAGACTTGAAACATAGATCTATCTAAAAGTGAAATTATAAGGATTTGGCAGCCTTGAAAACTGCCAGATAAATGAAAGGAGACTTTCTGTACCATCGCAGAGCATGCGGAAAACGCAGGATTCAAGAACTAATTTTTTTCCCGAAGATTTTGAAATGTATGACACATTAGTTGAAAATGTTTTGGGATACCAACTTTCCAGGAGAGCAATTATGATCAAATTATTTAACATAGAAATGTTGACTTTGCCGGACATAACTTACTTTACTTTATTAATTTTTTTAATTTATTAACTTAAATTTTTTATAAGTATTTTACGGCGCTCGCAACTGCATAAGGTCATATGAGCGTGCGGAACACACCAAACATGTTCAGTTTGCAGAAAATTTTGAATTTTGCCAGTGTGGCGGCCGAAGCCTACTCTTGTCGATTTTGATCCAATGGGTCTTTACCACGCGCAACTTGCGTACGTGACCTCCGAGATTTTTTGCCCTTATCCTAGCAAACTAGGAGAAAATCTCCCTACCATAATACCTGGGGTGTGGTTGAAAGAAAACAGTAATAAGGAGCCAAGGTGTAGCATTAAAAAAGCTGCAGAAAGAGTCAGGAGCCCAGAGGAGGTGGAAAAGGAGGTGTGGAGTGGGGGCAGAAAGTGGAGACGAAAGGGGATGATAGAACATTGTTAGAGGAAGGCAGGAAATGAGGTGAAAGTAGACAATTTCAGAGAAGAAAATGTTCCGTGACTATCAAGATTCGAACCCGGGAGTTATTGAATGATTAAAACACAGTAAGCTTTCGAACACCAGAGCCCGTACCTTATTCTTCTGTGC